TCACACTCTATGAGCCATAAAAGTCTGATGATAAAATAAGATACAAAATATAAAACACATATGCAAAAGTTGATTGTCTCAAAGGTTCAATAAACTGTTCCATTTCCCATTGGACATTATTTCATGACTATTATTTCAGGTTTTACGGGGTTAAGTAGGGAATGCAACAGACAACTTATAACTTATTTTTAACCCATCCAAATGACAGAAAGTGTTTCTAAAACCCAGTAAATGACCAAAAAGGTTTAGTTGTGGCAGACCTGTGTCCAGATCCAGAGCTCATGTGAATGTCCGCTGAGGTTTTTCCCCTGACGTGCCCAGAAATAAACACTTTAAGACAAAAGTCTTAACAGTAATGAAACGTCACTGTTCTGTTCAGGTACAAAGTAATGATGGCCTGGAGGCGATGTGAGATGCTGTCTGCTAGTAGTTAAAAACGTTTGCCACCCTCTCAGACTGAAGGCTTATTAGTTCCCGTCTCTTGGACTGCAGTCTCCAATAGGACTGTATCAGCAAATCCACTTCATTATCCTCTTTAATTGGCTAAATAATCCCCCTCGCTCCCACCACACTTGTTTGTTGGTGGGCAGACCGGCGCTGTATGGCTGACTGGAGAAGATCTAATATAAACTGGTCACACTTTTACACACGCAATAATTGATCCTTGATAAAAGATACAGACTGTCATGCATCTCATACATCATACAGCCTGTTTTAACTCAAACTCATCCTTGTGTTTCACTTCAGAAAGCAGAGCTTTGTAGTCAAATCAGCTCTGCGCCGAATCGCTTCAATTACCAAACCAAGCTCGTTCATTTAAAGACAAATCTGTCGATGCCGATCTGATCACCTAGTGGCATGTTAGTAAAACAGAGCAAGCTTCACTCTGTGTTTTAGCCCTTACTGGCTGTGAAGGTGCTGCTCTTGGTCTGTTTTTCTGGTGATAGATGGCTTTTCTTGCAGCCGCTGCTTTGCTTGTTTATGCTAATGCGTCTGATGACCTGTTGGTCTTCAATCTAACCGAAAGAAATGGCAGCTGGAGCAGCGGGGTGTGATCCTTTGATTGTTATTCAATGCATCCTTCACCACAAAACCCCGCCAACATTAAACACGCAAGATGAATGGAAATGTGAGCAAAACGTCGGGTTCAGTTTGCCAGCATGAGCGCATTGCTGACACCATTGCTGGATGATTGTCTTCATTGTCTCGACTGCAATCCAATAAACGGATTCTTTAGTCCCAAATCCACCAAAATACCTTAGTTAACACAAATTGAACACATGTAGATCACATTTTTTAAATGTTAGTCTCTTTTGCTCACCGAGGCTGCATTCATTTGATCAAAAATACAGTAAAAACAGTAATAAATGTGAAATATTTTTTATGATTTAAAACAGCTGTGATCTATGTGACTATCTGTTAAACTGTAATTTATGTCTGTGATCAAAGCTGTATTTTCAGCATCATTACTCCAGTCTTCAGTGTCACATGATCTTTAGAAATCATTCTAATATGCTGATTTGCTGCTCGAGAAACATTTCTGATTATTATCAATGTTGAAAACAGTTGTGCTGCACAATATTTTTGTGGAAACCGTGATGCATTTTATTTTTCGGGATTCACGGATGAATAGAAAGTTCAAAATAACATAATTTATTTGAAATATAAATATTTTGTAACATTATAAATTGCTGGATGAAGGACCATCACCTTCAACTCAACCTTGCCAAGACAGAACTGCTTGTGGTTACAGCAAACCCATCGTTTCATCACAATTACACAATCCAGTTAGGCACATCAACCATAACTCCTTCAAAAACAGCCAGGAATCTTGGAGTTATGATTGATGATCAGCTGACTTTCTCAGACCACATTGCTAAAACTG